ACTGCCCTGGTTCGCTTGTTTCTGGGTTTTCTGCGGGCTGCCTGCTTTTTTTCTTTCTCTTTTTCTTTCTTTCTTTTTTTTTTTTTTTTTTTTTTCTCGGAGACTGACCCTTCCGAGGCTCTGGGGGGACTCCAAGAGCGGTTCCTTCCCAGTTCACCTGGCAGGCTGGCGCCGGCCGGAGGGGCTACCGAGTCCCCGCGAGCGCTCCCCAGTGCTCCCCTGGCGCCGCGGGCCCTGGGGAAGCGGGACTGCGGGGCGGCTCGCCCAGTGCGCCTGGGTCGGTGCGGGCGCGGACTGGGAGCTATAGATTGCAACGTGAAGATGGCGGAGTCCGGGTTCTCTGGGAGCTCTCGGTCTCTCTATGGCTGGGGCTGCCTCTGTACAATGGGATAAAATTCAAGTTCAAGTGCGGACGTGACGTTTAATCTGCACTAGAGACAAAAAGACCCAGAGAGTCGGAGCACTGGGGGCGACTAGCGGTGGCTTTTTAACACTGTACCCTGTAAGAGAACAAGAAAGCACACACAGAGACACACTCGCGCGCGCGCGCACACTCACACGCGCGCACACACACACACACATTGGCCCGTGCGCACACCAGCAGCCCAGACCCGCCACACGTGCAAACCGCGTTTTTGTGCGCTAATCTCCCCGAGCACCCGCAGCGCATAAGGGGGGGGTGGGGGTGGGGGGGGTAGCGGACAGGATATTTTTAAATAAAAGCAAATCCTCAGCCCTCCTCCTCTCCTGGGAGCAGGACCCCCTGAGAAGGGGGGCGGGGTGCTGTGTGAGTGAAGTAAATTGAATCAATGCAAGTCCCCACCCACCGAAAAGCTCTTTTGGACTTGGGGGAGGGAGGATGGACTGTAGAAAAGGGTTGGGGTCGACTTGGGGACTAGGGTATATTATCAATTGCTTCATCTCCCTGGAAAAGTAGCTTGGTAGTTTTTACTTTTGTTTTCCTGGGGGAGGGGGGGTCGGAGCTCAACTTCCAAAAAGTGTCTCCATATAAATACTACTATCACAGACTCTGAGAGTGTGAAGACAAAATAAAACAGACTAAGAGAAGAGAATCAAGAGCACGTGGGAGGGGGGAACCTTGTTCCAGTCCCATTCCGGAAGGGATTTTCACCCTAATCCTTGCTCGCCCTCACCTCACTCGACTAACTCCTAGGGGTCTAACACGGCCCCGCCCCCTAACGCCAGGATCTACAGTAAGGCAGACGGTGAAGAACAGGGGCGCTCCACGTAGGAGAAGGACTTGCTGACCTAGAAGTAGGTGTGGCCAGGTCTTGGCGTAAACTCGGGTGGGTGAGTCCTTAAGGCCCCCACCCCCTTCCCTCCCACCCCTTGACAATCACTGCAACCTGGAAGTCACACCCCGCCCCCGCACTCCCCCCTCCGCTGTGCTCCTCGGCTGCCCAGGGTAGGACCAGAAATTGCCTGTCAGACTGAGGACACAGCTGCCTTGTAAGCTGTTTGATCTACAGCGGGCGAGGACAGGAGGAGTTGTGGGGGCCTGTCCGTGGCCCGAGGACAAGGCCAGGCTGTGGCCCTAGTGAACACCACCATTCCTCCGGCCATGGCCAACTTCGTCCACTTGATAACCCGACCTCCACGCGGCTGGACCCCTCTCCTTTCTCAGGGTTTCTCCAGTCTAGGCCGGGGCGGGTCAGGGCCTGGCAGGAGCTGGGCTCCCGGGCGAGTCCAGCTGCATCCACCCTACTCTGCCCCCCACCCCTCACCCCCCCGGCCTGGCTCCAGCAGCTTCACCAGAGCACTAAGCGGCGGTGGAGCCTCCCTTGGGGTCTTTTCTTGGAGGGGGGAATCACGTGAGGGTTTTTGTTCTCCCCAAGGACCTACGTGGGGGCGGTGGCACCAGCAACTTAACAGCGCTCAGCGCTCCTGAGCGAGGACAGAAAGAGCTCCTACCCCTTAAAAAATAATAGCAATAAAATGTACCCGAGCTTGCAGGTTTGCAGACTGTGGGCTATGGGGTTGGCGGACGCCGAGGCCGAGCGGATGAAGGCGGTGGCGAGAGAGGAGGCTGTTGGGCTTTCACCTCCTCCCCACCAACCCTCTACAGAGAGACTGCACGCAGCCGCCCACCCACACCCACACACATCTCCACGTGGTCCAAAGTCTAGACGGGCCTCCCTCTCTTCCCATTCCACCCCACCGCGAAAATCTTTCCAGGAAAGTGGACTAAGTAAGAAAAAAAAAGTGCCAAACACCTTTAATAAACTTCTAAAGATATCTATAAACTGGCTATCCCGACCCGCCCAAAATCTAAATTATTTAGAGATCAATTTCTGAGAACTGGACGTTTGTGAAGCCCAGAGAGGGTCAGTACTTTGCCTAGGTCACACAGCACATCAGGGACAGATCTGGACTAAAAACGCCGCCGCGTACCCACTGCCTCGCGCTGCCCTTAGTCGGGGGCCCGAAATCCGGGCACACAGCCCTCACCTTCCCGGAGCTGATCACAGGGAGGGAAGACCCTGCCAATGGCTAGGGGGAGCGAGAAGATGCCCTCAGGAAAGGGGGCCCCTCTGCTGGCTCCGAAGGGTGCTCGAGGCTCCACAGCTGCGGCTACCAACTCGCTTGTGATCAGGAGGGCGGGCTTGAGGAGGGGGCACCCCCGCCTCACCCTCAGCAGGAAGTGGCGGGCAGGGGGCGGCGCGGACCTGGACTGACCGGAGGAGCACTTCCTCATTGGGCCCGCGGTGCCCCGACGGCGGGAAGAGGGACGCGCGGGCTGGCGGGAGCAGGGCCGGACACGCTGCCGCCCGCCGGCGCACTCCACCTCGCGGCAGCCAGGAGAGGCTGCCCTGCCCTTGCCCAGCCCTGTACTGGCCCTGTCGCCCTCCTCCTCCTTCCCTTCCCCTCTTCCTCTTCATCTTGCTCCTCCTGCACCTCTTCTTCCTCCTCCTCCTCCTCTCCCGAGAGGCGGCTGGGCGCAGTCAGGGAGCGATCCCAGCTGCCACTCCTGTCTCCTCTTTTTCCCTCTGCCCGTCTGGCACGGGCATCATTAGCACAGAAAGCTGTTAATGTCTGGTCTCACAGCTCCCCCTTTAGTCTTGCTGCGCTCTCTGTCTCTCGTTCCAAGCCAGATCAATAGCCGCCTCCCGGCCGACCTTGACCTCTCCCTAGACCCTGCCTGGCTTCTGCAGCTGGCCCACACTTACGTTTCCCCCATTCTCATGATGTCCAGACAGCAGGCGGGGCAGGAGGAGGGTGGCCAAGTTTGTGTCACAACCCCTTCCCCAGCCTTTTCTCAGCACCCCAGGTTGGGGGGGGGGGGAATCTAGTACCCTTCTGAGAAAGTCACTGCACCACACCACACTACCTCTTCATCTACCAAGCCTTTGTTTAGAATAAAAGCCACTCTCAACAACTCCCCCCAAGGGGGTGCAGATGGTTAACATATGAAAATATATATATAAAAAGAAAAGTCCCCATACAAATGTGGTCCTGAACTAATATCACAAAACTTCAGATTCATTTCCCCAGCACCAGCTGCAGGCCTACTGTGTGCTCTCCCCAGAGCTGGAGCTTTGTGCATGCTGGAATCAGATAGAAATAAATGCTGTATTTTTTGCACAATCTCTAAAACACACACACACAGAGCAGATGTCAAAAAGCTTTTTGAACTCACAAATATTTCCCTGCTATTCTTTTTCTAGCTTCACAGTGCATTCCAGCGGATAATCCCCCATATTCTCAGTCACTTTAAATTTCTTTATAGAGAAAGAGTTCTGAAATCAGAAATCATTTCATCAAATCGGAGTGCATTTTTATTAACCTTGTGTGGGGCTTTAATTCCCTGTGTGTGCTGCATGTAACACGCCATGCAGTGGGGGCAGATTAAAAAGACACGTGACCCCCACGCCAGGCTTTTTGTTTAAAATTCTTTGAACGATTCTCAATACTTAACTCCGCTGAGGTCGGACTCTATTTGAGATTCTACAATGTTATCTTTGCCTTCTGAGCTGTTATATTTTATCTTATGCCTTTACAAAAATTTGGAAAGAATCAAGATAAGAAGTGTCAGTGGAAATGGGAACTCTTAATGTTTCTGCAGAAAGAAAACTGACATTTCATTTGTTTTTGTTGTTTTCTTTTTAACAGAGATCCACCCTCTAAAATGTAGTCAACTTTGTAGCAGTACAACAGCACATCTTACCAAATTACTTTGGGCTTCATTGCTGGTGTTTAAGAAAAAGAAAAAGGAAAAGAAAGGGTAAAAAAAAGAAATCCATGCAAAAATAAGGCAAATTCTTTCATATTCACAGGTATAGGGCAAACTCAGAAGCAATCGTGTCTGCTAATTTCTATTCCTCTGGGCCTATAAACACTATTGACCATGAAGATGAGGACACATCACATGCACTGATCTGATCAGTGGATTGATTGACTTACTCTAACTTTTGAGGAAACCACTGTGGAGGTAGTAAGCAAATCATATTATGTGCATAGTAATAAGGCTCCACGATGGCCCTTATCTCCTTCCTTACAGTTCTAGAATCTTTAGGAGCTATCAAATCCAG